CCTTTACACCTTATGTATTTCCAATGGCTGCTTAATCTTGTCCCTCTCAGTTAAGCGGGGCTGGGGAACGGGAGATGGCTTCCCTCACAATTCCAGTCCCAATCAGAGCAAAGGGCACAGGCAACATCTACCCTCCAGCCTGACTGGATGGCTAGGTTGCATATTTTCATACATTTTCTGGGTCTTTATCTAAACAAGTTGCTAGCCTTAGTGAAAAGCACCGCAAGCATTTATTTTATTTGTACACATAACGCACTGGTTTCATTAACCAATGAAAGGTGTTCCTGTGAGAGCTTAGGTGACATGCTACGGATTTAACATTACCTACCGAGGCATTGCTGGGAGTTCCAGCTGTGAGGTCCTCCCGAGGGTTGGCTCCTCCTGGGCCCTCCCAGGTGTACCATCCAGATGAAGACCCTATTAAGGTGGAGTAAAGAATTACTGAAAAGCAGTTGTACTTACCTCCTTTCTTTGATAGGATCATGATCTTTAGGGAAGTCAATCTCAGTTATCTGCTTTTGGATGTTTTTCCAGGAATATATTTTACCTTTGTAAGATTCTGTAGCTCTCACTGAGACTTAAGAAAGAACCATTAGGACACAATAGCAAAGCTGAATCTAAGTTGTCAGGGTCTTAAATTTACAGGTAAAATTAGAGACAAGAGCTGTAAAACAGGAAAATTCCTAAGCATCTGCCTTAGTTGTAATTAAGAATTCAGTCTATCTTTGTGCAGTCAGCAAACACCAGTCTGTGAAAATGTATTTATATCCCCAGATGGGCTGCTAACCCTGCTTACTGACACTTTTGAACTTTAAACAAGCCAAAAGAAATCCATGCCACTCATTACTAATTGAGATGCTATTACTCGCTGAGACCCAACTTTTCCCAAATCTACTAGATCTAGGTGTTTGCAACAATTTCAAGCAAAAATAAGATGAGCTTGGGGTGCCTGGGTGGCTCAGTCATTAAGCGTCTGCCTTCTGCTCAGGTCATGATCCCAGGGTCCTAGGATCCAGCCCCGCTTCAGGTCGGGCTCCATGCTCTGCGGGAACCCTGCTTCTCCCTCTCTCACTCCCCCTGCTTGTGTTCCCTCTCTCACTGTGTCTCTGTCAAATAAATAAATAAAATCTTAAAAAAAAAAAGATGAGCTTATCCAGATGAAGACAGGGTAGAACAGCTGTCTTATTAGAAGGAGGTGGAAGTGAGACAAGGGATAGGTTAAAACAATAAAGGCCCCCTAAATGACTTGTAGATCTTACTCCACTTTTCTTAAAAAAAGGGGGGGTACTAATGAAAGGGAACTGAAGGGCGGTAAGAGGTAAATTGATTTTGTATTTGAAGGGAAGATTTTTTTAAAGGTGTATTTCAAAAAACTCATCCCCAACCTCCACCACACACACACACACACACACACTCACACACTCACAAAGAATATAGTACTATAAATGAAATACTGCACTGTGATTTTTCTTTAGGATGACTAGAATCTGATGCCACATCTGAGTTTTAAGAAATGTATCCAGTACTTCATGCATGAAAGAAACCTGTCATCCCTGAACTCACTAAAGTGACAGTAAGCTATTACCCATATCACTGTCTGCTACTCCATTAGTAGCTGTTGATTATATAATGAGAAGCAGGCTATAAATATATTTCTCCAATCTGATGAGAAATTATTCTACCTACAGCTTATCTTGTTAATATCACCAGACACAGTGTGCCAATAGAATAGCTTGCATATTTGTCTGAACTCATATTTATCTAATCTCAACTGATCATAGCATTTCTCCATCTTGGTCCCCATCCACCCATGGCCTGGGCCTATAGCTACCAAAAAAGATTTATAACTCCTTAGGAATAATTCTTACATTTTAGAAACCTTCTGGGAATAAGCCTTCCATCCCCTTCCCTGGTGCACCATTAAATGAACCTGTGGCTTGTTTTCTGGTATTCTGATCTGTTTCTAGGCACCATCAGGGTTGTACCAGTGAACACAAACAGTAGTTCTGTTGTAATCTGCTTTGCTTGACGGCACACAAATGCTGCCTCTTCTGAATTAGGAGTATACATACATCTTTGGTGCATGGCAAGTCTCTGAAGTGCAGAATAGAGGGTCCAATCTGTTTTTTTTTTTTTTTAAGATTTTATTTATTTATTTGAGAGAGAGAATGAGATAGAGAGAGAGCATGAGAGGGGGGAGGGTCAGGGAGAAGCAGACTCCCTATTGAGCAGGGAGCCCGATGCGGGACTTGATCCCAGGACTCCAGGATCATGACCTGAGCTGAAGGCAGTCGCTTAACCAACTGAGCCACCCAGGTGCCCCGGGTCCAATCTGTTTTATCAGTAACATTACAAATATGGGATGGGAGGGCGCCTGGGTGGCTCAGTTGGTTAGGTGACTGCCTTCAGCTCAGGTCATGATCCTGGAGTCCCAGGATTGAGTCCCACATCGGGCTCCCCACTCAGTGGGGAGTCTGCTTCTCCCTCTGACCCTCTCCCCTTTCATGCTCTCTCAAATAAATAAAATCTTAAAAAACAAAAAACAAATATGGGATGGGAAAGCATTAGTGGCCCAGAGAAGGGTTAAGAACAATATCTGGAAGGGCTCCTAGCCCCAAGGTAAAGCACTGGATCTTGTCTGGCAATACATACTAATATGTACCCCAAGCACTAATGCTTCTGTAGGTCTTGAATTCACGTCTTCAACTGGCCTGCCAATTTTTTTTTTAATCCTTCATGCGGTCTCTTTTTATCAGTTTTATTTTTTTAAGTAATCTCTACCCCCAACGTGGGGCTCGAACTCCTGACCCTGAGACCAAGAGTCACATGCTCCACCAACTCAGCCAGCCAGGTGCCCCTCTTTATCACACTTCTTAATCACACACTGAAGAATCAATTCCACAAAACCCATGCTATCAATAATTGCTCAGCAGTGTTCTTAACCTCTTTATTTCTTCCCTCTGCTTCTGCCACCTTTTATCATCCCTTCCTTCTGGAGGGAAATGAAACGGGCACAGCTTTCTGCCTGTCACAAACAGGAAGTCCATTTCTGTGTCGCCTGGCAGGGGCTGGCTTCTAGGAACAGCTCTGATATACTGAATGCTGGTAAAGAGAGAAGGCTTTAGAGTCAGAGGACTTTAACAGGTTCATCTGGTAGGCAACAGCAGTGCAATTTTGAAGTTTGCCTTTCTGAAAAATGGAGATATAAACCTAATTTACAAATTCGTTCTTCTATAATTTCTCTCTACACGTTTCTAGCCAAAGGCCAGCTCTCATTTTGAAGCTAAAGGTCACTTTTGAGCAATTCCACTGCTAACAATTTATCCAACAGATGCTTCTACACAAATTGCATTGATACATAAGAGAATATTCTGTGCTCTCTCATTTGTAATAGCAAAACCCATGAAACAATGGTAAGTGTCCATCGACAGAGGACTATTTAAATACTACACAGCGATAACAAACAAGGTGAATCTCAAACTGCTGACGTAGTAAGATCGTCAAGATATACTGCCAGGTGGAAAAAAGGAACTTACACCATTTGAATATTTACTGAAGACATATTTTACTCCTACTTAAGAAAATTCTTGCATTAGTGATAGTCCACTCATTCCAGGCAATATCTGGTAAAAACAATTTGCATTCCTTATTAGGGCTTTATCATCTTTGGCTTATAAAACTCCGCTCACCCTCTCCCACCAATTGTGTTCACTATTCCTATCAATCTTTTTTTTTCTTAAAGATTTTATTTATTTTTTGAGGGAGACAGAGACAGCGAGAGAGGGAACACAAGCAGGGGGAGTGGGAGAGGGAGAAGCAGGCTTCCTGCTGAGCAGGGAGCCCGATGCGGGGCTTGATCCCAAGGACCCCGGGATCATGACCCGAGCCGAAGGCAGATGCTTAACAGCTGAGCCACCAAGGTGCCCCAATATTCCTATCAATCTTAAGGATGTAAACCCACATGGCTTTTGGGGATATGAGGAAGCCTCAATCCTTTAAGATGATCTTTAAGTCATTATGTCTGAAAATAGACTGCTTTCTTCCCTTATTTACAGAATGAATTCCCAGCAAGTCCCATTCCAGATGAGGTCTTACAGGACATTTAAAAAAATCATCAAAAACAGTGAACTCTGAGCAGACGGGACCCGCATGATGCTTTGGAACAGGAACCGACGACATCATTGTGTACAACGTGCCAGGCGCCATACAAAGCATGGTGAAGCTGGGGCTCTGCGCGCATGACTCCTTGGCAATATGCCCCCAAAGCACCGCCATCACTTCTCTGGATGGCAGAACTGTGCTACAACACTGATGTGAACCTAGGGACTTAAAGATAATGAAACCAAGGCCACCAGGGAAAATACTGCTCTGCCAACGCCAGCAGGGTTTACACTGGCATCAGTGGGGACGCAACATCTTCTGGAAGGATCCAGTGCGGGAAGACAAGGGGGAACCGAGACAGAAGCTAAAGAACAAGGAGAAAAGGGAAAACATTTCAGGGGAAAAAAAACATTCCGGAGGGAGGGGTGGAGCCCAGGCACAGCTCCATAAATATCTGCTGAACCAACATAGCAGATAGGGTTCGCCTATAGTCAGTGCTTTATGACCACCTTTCCTGAGAACTTAAAAATGAATGGTGCTAAAGATGTGACAGCAATGGAAATTCCAGGGAAGTTCAGGGCAAAAACCTGTATGAGCAATCCTTTCTCAGGTTAAAAAAAGAAAAAAAAGGAATAATATAGAAAGGTGTATGATAAAAAGGCACATTCTCTATACCCTACTTCCCCCTCAACCCTATCAGGAGGTCTCCTGATGATGTGTCCTCCCAGAAATCTGCAAGCATGCACCATTTACCCCTTTAAACACGACAGTGTCATAAAGGACATCTCGCAACTTGCGTCTCTGGCCCTGGGCTCTGCCGGCAAAACGGGCTCCCACAGGATGGCCGACATACTGCAGCACCGTCTGTGAACGCTAGAATTTATGTTTAAACATCCAGATCGCAAAATCCATTTCCTTTTATTCTGTGGAACTTCAGTAAAGTAAGCAGACTTGCACATGATTTATGTTAATTTATACACAGTGGTGGGAATTAAGACCAAAGGAAGGCTACTGGGGAAACGCCTGCTCTTGATTGCCTAAGATCTTCAGGGCAGGGGCGGACTTCTCTGGACTTCCCCACACTTCCTAACCAACAGTCAGCCTGAATGGACACCGGCCAAATATTTGGAGCAGCTTCTTGAAGAGGGGCAATCTAGAAGGAAAAAGAAACGAGAAGTAAATGTTCCTCGAAGAGTTGAAATCTCGCCTCCCCCCTGCCCCGCCGCAGCACTCCCCTCTGGTGCTGCCAAAGCCCCTGACATTTCCAGCCTTTCCACGACCACCTCTGTCGGGCTGGCCCGAGGGCCTGAAAACAACACGCGGCACTTGCATCCTGGCAACGTGAAGACTGTCCGAGGCCAGGCCAGGCCTGAGCCAGAGGGACACTCCCAGCGTCACAGAAGCCCTCCTGAAGGAAGAACGGTGTTCCCGGGCAGCAAGCACACCGTCTCTTCTCTGTAAGCAGTTACTTCTGTAAGCAGCCATCCTCTGGTTGCTCAGAAGAGGACTAGTTTGCTTCCACCTGGACCTTTACTTTGGTAAACAATGTGAGAGCTTCAGTTTTGCATTATTGCCCTCTGATACCCTTGTCTTTTCTAGCGGTTCTCAATTCCTCCCTCCTAGACTTGTAACTCTAGGTCCCTTGCAGCTGTCAGGATTCTCCTTCGTGACTGCCCAGATCAGAATTCGGTTTCCTGAAAACCATGTCTTCCTTTTTCTTGGTTGATTCCCCATCTTGCCGGAGGACACTGCTAAATACCTTCCTAGGAAGCGAGGTGGGGTGGCAAACCTGCACATGTCTGAAAGCCTTTGGATAGATCTGGTGGGTGTAAGTGCAGGTGCAAAGTCAGCTCGAGGGGGTTCCTCCATTGTCGAAAAGCCCCTTACTCTGATAAGAAGACAGGTGTTCACTCTAATTCCCGTTTTCTCATAGACAAGCCATTTTTTTCTTTTCTGGAGAAGACTTTTTACAATTACATTTTTAATGTTTTTGAAATTTCAACTGGATGTGTCTAGGGAAGGTTTGTTCATTGTGATGAGTACTTGGGGATGTTTCCCTTAAGATCCCAAGTATTCCCGGACTGGTCCTGCTTCCTTTTCTTTTCTATTTTCAGGGACATTTACTCAACTCCTGCCTGCTATCTACTCAAAGTACACAGACCCTTAGCCCAGCCTCCGTGGCAGTCCCTCCAGAGTTCAGTAGACGGCGGCTTTCTCCCCTACGCTGCTCCGTGACAAGCCATGCTCTTCTTCCAAAATTGGAATATTTCCTTCATTGGTTACTGCCAACTCTCCCCTCAATGATGTTTGGAAAGAAAGTTTTGAAAGCATTCGAATTTGCATTTTCAGAGCTTTTGCTGGAATCCCATAATTCATAAATATACCTCAAAGGAAAAAAGCAAAACTCTTACCAGTAACAACTCACCTGTTTTAGAACAACCCATTAACCTGTTCAGTTTCAGGGTCCAAATCAATATCATAGAAACAGGGCCGTGTGGGGAGTCCAGGCATCGTGCTCATCTAGGAGATGTGAAATAGCATGAAAAATAAAGTGATCTTTGTTTCCACCTTCCCTTCAGATAAGAAGCCCGAGGCACAAAACAGAATATTATTTCATAGTTTTAAATAAATTGGTACTCTTGTTACACACTGAAAACCAAGTCACTGATCCTGTTATGACCCCAAAGAGAAACCCTCATGTCCTTCAGCACGCCAAATGCCAGGCTTCACTACCGTCCTCCACACTGACAGTTGTAACAAGAAGTGGCAGGAGGTCCTTCCACCTTCATGGTCTAGGGGAGGGGCTGGAGAGGCTGAGTCACCTCCTCCCCTCTCACGAGACCAAAAGGAGGTACAAGGCTTGTCTGCTTTTTAATTTTGTTTTAACAAGTCTTGCATCAAAGCCTGTATTATTTTGCTTCAGGAACACATTAGAAATTAGCGTCCTTTAACTTGGGCCAAGACATTTCTGTACAAAGTCTAGATAGCTTTATAACCACTATTCTGACTGGTCCAGTTTGGCCTTCTAAAACTGAGCTTGTAATGCCATAGATTACATTTGTACTTACTTCTTTTCTCAAGACTGGGCTTTGACAAATATCTACTTAGCTGCAGATCCATAAGGCTTGTAAGTAAAAGCTCAGTACACTTTCACCTGTAACAGTGTCTTGTAAAACGAATAAATACAAGTTCCCAATCAGATCCAGACAGGAGAATTTAAGCTCAACTTCTACAACTTAACTATAACTTACCAGAACATTCTACAGGGATCTGATATTAGTCTCTATTCGTGAACTCTGTAAGCAACTGCTGGGTGTGGGAACAAGAAGGGGGAAAAGGAAGGGATTGTTCCTGAGACCTAGCAGAGAAGCCTGAAGATGACATTAAAGATACTGAGCGTGTGCCCACTGATACAGACACAGATGTGCATGGTGTAGAAAACCCTAAAGATGGCTCCCAAAACAGTGATTCAGATTTTCGTATTTTTACTCCTTCCCAAAGAGGATTCCCCCCGTCCCCTCTGCCGTAAACACTGGCACTTGTCTGACCGTTGTTGTTCCATGATGATATTGCCCCACGCTGAGAGCTGAGGGGAGCAGGGCACAGATCGTTAATAACTTGCCCAAGGCCAGAACCAGCAGCGAAAACTGTATGTGGCTTTCACGTTACATACTTTTGACTCTATAATGCCGCTTCCTACCACTTTCTTAAAATCCTGCAACAGGGATGTAGCTCCATTAGGAGATCTACTGGCTTCTTTTTCATCGTGAACTGGCTGTTTGATAGGTCAGTCTTGTACTGCAGGTAAGGACACCGGGCAGATCAAAGGGGGTATCAAAGGGGGTAAGCCAGGCACAGGGCAGCTGTTAACCTGGGATGGTCAGCTCCTCTCTCCATATGCATACGATTCCTAAGATAAAGAAGCATCTGATAATGAATGCATCTTGAAGTGGAAATAGGCGACCTCACTTTTCACATCTACAGGGTTCACTTGCATTTTAAGGGCATTTTCTTTATTCAGAAACAATGAATTCCCAATGAGTTTCAGGCCTAAGCTCCAGGCCTGTCAAGAAGACCCGGGACAGGGAAAGCCTCTGTCCCTACTTCAAAGGACGCTTGGCAGGACTGAGTTCATCTGCGAAAGGCGCCCAGTGAATGTCAGCTATGATTATCCGTTAGCACTATCGCAGATGATCAATGAGGCCTGTCCCAGATTCAGTCAAGGTCATACTGCCCCTGGGAAGCAGAACTATTATTTGTGACAAGCAGTCATGGCTTCATCCTTGAACCGACACCCAGATGGTCCACAGCCAGAGGACCAGTCCTAACGGGCCTGACGCCAGCTTGCTGCTCAGTGAGGAGCTCCGCTCTGGCAGCGCTTGCCCGGCAGCTTTGGTGGCCCATCTCAGACGCGAAGCCCCGATGAACCAGCCCGCTCTCCGCCTGTAGCACTCACTTACCGTGCCTACCAAGGGGTACAGAAAACCGGCCCCAACACTGGCACGGATGTCACGGATGGGCAGGACAAAGCCTGTGGGCACACCCTTCTGCTCTGGGTTATGAGACAAGGACAAGTGTGTCTTGGCCATGCAGATGGGCAGGTGCCCAAAGCCCTGAGGAGAAAAGGGAAGAAGCAGGACCAGTGAAAAGCTGACAGTGCAACCAAGTGCACCTGGGCACTGTGATGATACCGATTCTTCCATTTATTTAAATCATCCATTCCCTTTATACCCACCTGGACCTCACTGACCCCAAGCTCAGTTATTAGAGATCCAAAAAAAAAAAAAAATCTCTGTTGGGTGAGAGCAGCAAGGACCCACAACCATATTCCAAAAGTGAGTATTGTATTTTCATCTACATAACCAATTAAAAATGGTAGCTTGGAGCAGACGTGAGAACACAACTGAAGGCAGGCTCTTAATATTTGAGGAAGACACTCCCTATTTTTCTTGGCTTTTCCACACATTCATATACCACCCCTGGGCAGATAAAGGCCTGGACCATCTCATCCAAACGCAGTATTCAGAGGGGAGAGGGCTAACACCCAGAAAAGCGAGGTAGTGGGCACCCAGCAGGGCTAGGAGAACTCGGGGGCTCTGCTCCCAGGCTGCTCTGTAAAGAAGTGACAGAACAACCGAATATCTACCTGTTTTGTGTAGACTTCAACTTTGTGTTGAGCTTCAGGAAGCAGTTCAATGTCATCAGCCCCATAGATCTTCTGCGCAATGATCCTGATTTTATCCTCAATCGGGAGCTAATAGACAGCAGAGAGAAGGGGGATCCATGACTGGGTGCACATGATGATGCTGAACTGGGACAGGGCCACGTTCCAGGTCAGAGTTCCCAAGAGGGTGAGAAGATGCTTTTACACACACACACACACACACACGCATTTTTAAAGATTTTATTTGTCATAGAGAGAAAGAGCGCTCACACAAGCAGGGGAAGCAGCAGGCAGAGGAAGAGGAGAAGCAGGCTAGGGCTCAATCCCACGACCCTGGGATCATGACCTGAGCCAAAGGCAGATGGCTTAACTGACTGAGCCACCCAGGCGTCCCTACATACACAAATAGATATGCAGATAGTTTGAGGTATATTTGGATTAGAAACATTTTCTTTTAATACCAAGCTCCAGGGGGAGGAGCAAGATGGTGGAGGAGTAGGAGACCTAAATTTCGTCTGGTCCCAGGAATTCAGCTGGATAGGGATCAAACCGTTCTGAACACCTACGAACTCAACAGGAGATCAAAGAAAAGAATAGCAGCAACTCTCTGAACAGAAAAGCGACCACTTTCTGGAAGGTAGGACGTGCGGAGAAGTGAATCCGAGGCGGTATTTGGGAGGATAGAC